GCACGGACGCACAGACACATGGACGCACGGACGCTAATGCGATTCTACTACAGCTGATCTGACTTCGTCAGTATGAGCTAAAAACAAAACAACAAGTGAACAGTACTCACGCTTTCAGCCGCCTCACGTAAGCCTAACACCACCCTCACCTCGCTCGCAAACAACGGTCAAACGACAAAGACAAAAACAAAGACAAGTGAAGCAGCCACTCATGAAGCGACCAGCCTCACCAGCTTCTTCACGAAACGGCCGTGTTAATTCTCAGACTGCGAGTCGAGCTTCGCGAACCCTCCCTCGTCGTCACGGTTACGCCGCTCGAGTTCAGCGCTGCGTAGCGCCGCCCATGGCGGCGATCGCGCGTCCCCGCCTGCCGGCGCGCTACGACTCGACGGTTTTCTCTCCGGCCTGCCCAGGGCGCGCGCTCGGGCCTCTCCCGCGCGCCGAGCTTATCCTCTTCGAGACTGAGCCGCCGGGCTTCCTCTCGCGGCGACGCAGCTCCTCCGCGGCGCGCGGCCTTCTCTCCTCCTCCCGCCTGCAGCTGCGCGTCGAGGTCGGCGCCGACATCCGCTCGACGGGGAAACGCTTGCCGAGGGAGGACCTTCGACTGCAAGACGAGGACAAGAGAGGAGCCAGGTAAGAGAGGTAGGCTGAGAGAGGAAGGCGGTGATAAGGGAGGTTCGCGGCCGCCGACAATCGTCCTCTGCGGGAAACGCTTGCCGAGGGAGGACTCGCTGCAAGAGAGGAAGCTGGTGAGAGAGGCGTTGTTAGAGGGAGGACATAAGAGAGGGAGGAGCTGTAAGAGAGGAAGGTCAGAGAGGAGGCGGGTGAATAGGAGGAGGTCTGCGGCCGCCGACATCGCCTCGATGGGGAGACACTTGCCGAGGGAGGACTCGCGCAAGATGTGAGAGAGAGGACGTAAGAGAGGGAGGAGCTGTTAGAGAAGAAGGTGAAACGGAGGAGCTGTGAGGAAGGTGAGAGAGTAGGTAGGTCAGAGAGGAAGGTGAGAGAGTAGGTAGGTGAGAGAGGAAGGTAAGAGAGTAGGAAGCTGGTTAAAGGGAGGAGCTGGTGGAAATCAGAAAAAAGGAAAAAATATGCAGAAAATGAGCTCCGGGGGATACATCCCAACACGACCCGGGGTCTTCCCCCTCATCCACACCTTCCCAACGCTTCCGTCTTCTCCCTCAGACAAGTCTCCCTCCCCCTGCTATCCTACCCTTCACCTCTGCCTCACCTTCCTTTGCTGGCTGCTCTACCGTCCCTCCTCTCCCATCGGTGTCCCTCCCTGTCCGTCGCCTGGCGGTCTCCTTCCTTCCTCTCTCGGCGCAGCCTGTCCTTCCCCGGGTCTCCGGCCCTCCCTCTGCTGCTGGCAGACTCCCTCCTCTCCTCCGTGCGCTTCTCACGCGTCTCCCTCGCATCTGCGAGAGGAGAAGGAACCATTGTAGTGCGTATATCGCGAAGAGGGAGACATGCAGTGAACCGAATGAGCTGCTTATACCGAGAAGGGCGGAGACAATGCAGATGGTATACCGAGAGAGGGAGACAATGCAGGTGGTATACCGAGAGAGGGAGACAATGCAGCTGGTATACCGAGAGAAGGAGACAATGCAGGTGGTACACCGAGAGAGAGAGACAATGCAGGTGGTATACTGAGAGAGGGAGACAATGCAGGTGGTATACCGAGAGAGGGAGACAATGCAGGTGGTATACCGAGAGAGGGAGACATTCTAGCCGGTATACCGAGAGAGGGAGACAATGCATGTGGTATACCGAGAGAGGGAGACAATGCAGGTGGTGAGAGAGTTAAGCATAATGCCTCTGTCTGTCTCTCTTTCTCACTCGCACTGTCTCTGTCTCTCT